AGCATTCACGTTGAAAAATCTTCTCTTGAGGCATAATGCTAATAGGATACAGAATGTATCTGGTTGTTTTATAATGCACAGGACTGAAATATGCGTCAGCACTGATTATCTCAAAACTGGAAATCTGCCAAACTACTGCAGTGCATTTGTCTAATTAATATAAAAGGGATCAGTTACCAGAGTGTTTGGGGGATTGCAGGTGAGCTGCACACCTGCAAAAGACTGTAGTTTATATTTATTTTGTAATAAAATAAATAATTTGTAATAATACAAACCAAAATACAACCTGCTTATAAGGTTCTTGTTAATTTGTTCTTATTCCCTCCCTCCCTTATAATCTGTGTTATCATCTTGCATACTTATTGATGTAGTATACACAATCTGACAAACTTCAAGACCACTTTGGAAAGTGATGTTAATACTTTCTGTATTAGCATTTTGTAATAAGTAGGCTGTCAGTATGGAAATTCGCCTGCAAAGGTCAAAGATCCTATAAGGTAACTGCTTCCAGAAAGATACCAACAATTCCTTGTAATCTTTTGAACTGGTAGGATAAATAGTAATCCCTTGTGCTGCAAAATAGCTGCCAAAAATAAATAAATAGGAAGGTAGGTAGGTAGGTAGGTAGGTGGATAGGTAGATAGATAGATAGATAGATACGTAGATACATAGATACATAGGTAAAACGCAACCAAAAAAAAAAAAAAAAAAAGCAAAATTGTGCAATCTCAGTGAAAGTAATGCAAGTTCAACAGACTGGGGTAAGATGCATTGGAAAGTAGTGACAGTTACACAGGAGAACACTGTTCAGGATTGGGAAGGGGTTCTGATATACTGTACTGGAACAAAAGAATTTACCTGTCTGTTGCCAGACAGGCACACGCTTGATTAAAACATCTGACTTTCTTTCCTCAGTAAATATTCCAAACATGCCAGATCAACAGAACAGTTCTCTGTCTCTGTTACCTTCTGTCCTGAGCTTTTCCTGATTTTTTTCTCCCTTCCTCTTAGATGTATTATGTCCTCTTCTAGCTTTGAAGATGGCTTTGAACTGCTTTGAACATGCTTTGAACTGATGACTAGACCAGTGACCTACAGAGGTCCCTTTCAGCTAAGATTCTATTATTATCTAGTTGTCACAAATACTTCTGCCTTCTGACAAAATCTTCAGGCTTTTTCTAATATTAAAATCTTCATCGCTTTCCTGTATCTTTTGAAGCCACTCCCAGATGGATTCTTCCTTAACCCTTTATTATAATATCTGCCTTTGATCTATATACTATTCTTTTGTGTGCTCTTCCTTTGTCTACTTTGTATCTTTCCTGTAATTTATAACTCTTTCTAGTTCGTATGCCTGAAATTATTGTGGAGAAGAGGAGGCACAGGGATGACGTTATAGCACTCCACAACTACCTGAAAGTCTGTTGTAGCAAGGTGGAGATCAGCCTCTTATCAGTTACCAGTGACAGGATAAGAGGGAATGACATTAAGTTTCACCAAGGGAGATTCAGATTGTGTATTAGGAAAAATTTGTTCTCGGAAAGTGGTAATACATTGAAAAAGACAGCTCAGGGAGGTGATGAAGTCACCATCCCTGGAGGTTTTCAAGAAGAGAGAAGATGTGGCATTTGGCTTACTGAGAGTGATGGTAATGGATTGACAGTCACACTACATGATTCTAGAGTTTTTTTCCAAACTTAATGATTCTTTGATTCTATGATTTTGTACCTCACAGAACGTGAGTTAGAGTATTCCAGGCTCAAGAACATAGATATTTTCATAATCTACAGATTAGATCATCTATTATTCAATCTCATATCCTGTAATTGTGACTATAGGATTTTTGTAATTTGTTTGTCTGTTAGCACTGACAGAACAATCTACCTAAAATATTTCATACAATACGTTAGTGAGCATTAATCTTTATTGCTTTGTACTGTGCTGTTCTGCACAATCTTAGAGTCTACCACCAAGGAAGGGCCAAACATCTTTTCAGTTAATTCTCAAAGTTCAAAAGGAGTTCTGGAGAGAAGGCAGCTTTTTTTTCTTTCATAATTTGAGATGGATGGTTTCTTTCATCCAACTGCATAGCAAACAGCCAGCTGTTCTTCACTTCCCCTTTATATATTCACAGCATTTAAACACTTCTCTAGACTACTAAAATAGTCTACTTAAGTACTATATATTAAACATATTCCTAATTTTGCAACTGAACATTCACAGTAAGAAAATGGAATTTGCGAGTCTATAGCTCTTCTGAATGTATTCTTGTAACTTTTTAATACTAATGTTAATTGGAAATGACAGTGAGGTTCCTATCTTATCTAAATTAAGTCTTCCTTTTCTGTTTATCATTTTGATTTCCCTCCTATTCCCTTTTCATTGGAATGGATGACTAATTTCCAAAAGTGAATGAAAATCATCATGCAAACAGTCATATTAATCAAAAAGAGAATATGAAAAATCTGAAAAAAACTTTCAAACCCCAGGCTCTTTGACTAATATCCCAGATGAAAACATAGAAGGATATATCTCACACGTTGTCAAAATAAACTCCAGTGCTCTCAAATATTCTTTCAGTAGGAGACTACATTACTGGTGGTTTTGATTCTAAATGTCTAGACTAATGAATGATTTTTAGTATTCTGAGCAAATGCCCTCAAAGGCATGAAAAATCTGAGGCATTTTACGAATGACTCTTTATTTGATGAAAACATAATGTGGCTAAATACAAATAGAAATAACCAGGACAGGTGAACTTTACATCCTTAATATTTCTTCTTCTTTTTCCTTCACATGAACAAGCACAATTAAAAATAAAACACGCACATTAAAAAAATAAACTTGTAAAACCCATTCTTCTACCTTGTGCGTGAATGATGGTCTTTGTTTTTTCCTACTGATAGTTTAATTTAATTGGTAAAAAACAAAATGAAGTTTGTTATCTACAAGATGGATACTTGCACAGACTTTGGAAGATATATTGCCCCTAATTTTAAAATGGCCTCAATATATAATTCTTCTAATCAAATATAAGTGTCTTGGTACATAATAGTAAGAACAAAAGAATGATGCATTAAGACTTGTATTTTTTTCCCCATCTTAACACAGAAAGTTTATTTCAACTGAAAAAAAAAAAAATTATTCATTGTGCTTTTTGCAAGTGATCTCTTTTTGAAGGTGAGCTCTCAAACAACCATAGATCATATACTTAGACACCATTATTTAAACATTTTCTAACTGATGTGTCACTGATGCTAAATTTTCACAGAAAATGCAAGTATCATTGATTGCTTTGTGTAACAACACGATAACTTGTGAGAAGGTTTAAATCAGCTTTGGGAATGGTTTATGTATACCTGTGTGCTTCTATTTCCATATTATTTCTGAACTTTGCATTCATTACTCTGAAAATAATGGTTTCTATTTATTTTCACGGAGACTACAACTGCTGCAAAGAGCACAATAACACTATTTGATAGAGCAAATTCTCAACTACAAACCACTATTTTTCAACACCATTAGCTGTGCATTTTCACCAGCGATGAATGAGAGCCTGCATGCCACATTCATAAAAATCTACAGTAGCAGGGGTGACCCACTGTTTCACAGCTTCTGTGATCACGTTGCGGTAGGATAGTCCAGCCAAGATTGGCAATGCCTTCCATGGTCTTCAAACTGTTATGGGATCTGATGTTATTATGTTGCAAGAGAAAAGTTGTTTTTCTCTTGTCCTGACTCTGGAATTTCAAGCCTTCAGGTTAATTTCTTTGATGAGGAATTCACGTCACCACTCCATGCACTGCCATTTTGGCTCTGGCTTGTAGTGGTGATGTCATGTCTCATGACTGGTAATGATGTTACACAGTAGACTATCACCTTTTGTTTTGTATTGATTCAGTAGATCCTGACAAACTTGCACATGGTGTTTTTGTTCCTGTGTGAGCATTCATGGCACCCACTTGACACAAACATTGCAGTATTCTAAAGTTATCACCATCATTTCCAATACATTGAAAGCAATGTTCAGCTCCACACACAATTACATGATCATAATCCACTGATTTGCATGGATGAGCTGATGGGAACACTGTTCATTTCATGGTGTGACAGCTGTGCATGGCCATCTGGAATGTGTCTTCTCTTTCACATTGCTGAAAACCACTGCCTCACTCTACTCACATGCACTGTTTGGTCTACAGAAGCATTCAGCAAGTAACAATGAATATCAATGGACACATTTATTTCTGCATGGAGGAATTCAGTGATACATTTTTGCTTCATGCGTACTTTCATGCCTGATGCTATTTTGTCAGATTGCCCTTCTGGTACTGTCCGTCACGTGGCAACAAAATGTAATGGAATATTGGTAGGAAGGTTCTGCCTCTGCTGCCATACCACCAACATCTGCCTCTGATGTCATGGACCAACATCATAAAATAGGCAGTACTTTTGGAGCTGCCTTCCTAGTTCCTAAACTCATTGAGGGACCGAGAAAAATATAAAAGGTCTTAATGTGATGACACTTTAATGTTAATTGAAAAATAATCAGTCGTTTCTTGCATAGAGTTTGACAGCATGTAATAGCACCAACAGCCTTCTCCTACTTCATTCTCAGAGTATCTTGTATTTTTATTGCTATGACATAACTAACTATGCTTTCTACTCTATTTTTTTTCAAAACAGTGAAGTTCAGCAAATGTCATCCTTCATGATCTTACTACTTAAAGTTTTGCAACTGTATCTAGTTCTCACCCAGTTGCTGTGTTGAGAAATCATGTTTTAATTGAAGATGTCCCTGTATATTGAGGATGTCACAATATACTGAATATTACATATATAACATAATTAGAATTGTTTTTGTAAAATAATACCTATGTAATGTTCAATATTGCATAATATTGAATATATTGCCGCATAATATTGAAAATTATATATATATTATGTAATTAATTATATGAATATTGAATATATATAAATATCCTCTGTATATTTTTCAGATAATCCTGGGCTAGTGAGCCATGTTCCAGTTGGCATTAGAATCCTGGATGTCAATGACAACCCTCCAGAGCTCGCCAGAGAGTATGACATAGTGGTCTGTGAGAATGCAAAGCCTGGTCAGGTAACTCTCACAGTTATCTTTTTCTCAGTGGGAAAGAAGAATTGTTTCATCTGTTAACGTTGCATGTGTTAAAACTTTATTTTGATCACACGCCATGTGATCTTTCTGATTTCATATTTCACATTTGACCCAACTTTTTAAACATATTCTGTATTTTAACTGTATTAGACTAAAGGGAGAAGATTGGGAATTTATTCAAGGTATTTTCTTGTTATTTCAAGAAAATACAATACAAAAACATTAATTTTGCCAGATGGAATTTGAAAAGTCACTATACTGTAACAAATGGATAAAGCACATTTAACAGCTCTCACTAAGAGCCATGTGGGAGAAAGGTTTCAAATATAACTCAGTAGAATGACTGATTAACATGACTGCTATCCTCACTTTTTGCATGTTTGATTGCTCAGAAGTGTTCAGACAGAAGGTGAAATGAGGGTGAACCTGTCTGTGAAGTGTCTTCAAGGAAAACATTCTGAACAGCTCTTCCAAAACTATGAGCAGAGGGAAGGTTGCAATTCAGACTGAAATACAATTATTTTCCAGCTACCACCCCATGGTTGATGCATTTCACTGTGGTCCATGGTTTGAGAACTTTACCAAGTTATTTTGTTTTGTTTTACCAGAAGTACCTTCTTTGCATAGACTGAGTCGTTACACAGATCTTCATGGCAGTTATGCTTTATTACACAGGTTGTAGGTTGGAATTATGAGCTTGCATCATGCCTGTATGAGACATGCTCTGACTTCTTATTCAGTATACAGCTAGGCTTCAGAAGAGATTGTGATGTCCTTGGGCTATTAAAAACAACAACAACAAAACACATGAAAACAACACCAAAAAGATACAAAAGCACCTGGCTCTTGCTCAGAAGACTACTATTTTAAGAAAAAAAAAAATGTCGATGAACGACAAGTATTAAAGAAGAACAAATAAGCAAAGATTATAGAATAAGACAACTTTACATGTGCTAGAAAACATGTCAAGCTGAATAGTTTTGAATCACTACAAAGACAGCATTTATTCTGAATTATCCATCATCTGGTAAGAATGAGTAGTACAAAATATCACTAAAGAATAAATTCTGTCAGACACTGCCAGGCACAGCTACTTGACTAACGCTTGAGGTTGGGCTGCAGCTCTTCCCTGTCCTGTATGAGTTCTTGTTTTTTTCTTCAGGAAATCTAAGATAAGCTGCATAGCCATTGAGGGCATTTGTCCTAGCACATCTATTTTGAATTTATTATATACAAAATAAACTGATTGTTTGTCATTGACAGACTTTTTGTGTTTGCCTATTTATTTTCAAGAGAGGCATCTACAGAGAGAAATCAGAGACAGAATCGGTCTCCTGATTCTTTTTCTCTCTGTGGCTCAATTTATTTACTTTCCAAAATAGTAATAATAAAACATAAGAAAATGTACTTCAGTGAACCCCCTTAAGCATCTCAAAAATGTTTTTGAGAAGATGATAATTCCCACAGTGAAGTGATAGTTTTTCTGTATTAGTAGTCACTGGGAAAGTAAATTCTCTATCTTCAACAGCTTTCAGATGAAGCCTAATAGATAATACATATTAATGTAAATGAAGCAGTTGTGATTTGATCATAGATAATATACAGAGTTGGAGAACCTGAACATGAGCCGACAGTGTGCCCAGGTGGCCAAGAGGGCCAACGGCATCCTGGCCTGCATTAGAAATAGTGTGGCCAGCAGGAGCAGGGAGGTGATCATCCCTCTGTACTCAGCTCTGGTGAGGCCGCACCTCGAGTAGTGTGTTCATTTTTGGGCCCCTCACTACAGGAAAGACATTAAGGCGTTGGAGCATGTCCAGAGGAGGGCAGCGAAACTGGTGAGGTGTCTGGAGCACAAGTCTCATGAGGAGCAGCTGAGGGAGCTGGGATTGTTTAGTCTGGAGAAAAGGAGGTTCAGGAGAGACCTCATTGCACTCTACAACTTCCTGAAGGGAGGCTGTGGTGAAGAGGGGTTTGGCCTCTTCTTCTCCCAGGCAACAAACAGGACCTGGGGAAATGGCCACAAGTTGTACCAGAGGAGGTTTAGGTTAGACATGAGGAAAAACTTCTCTCAGAGAGTGGAATGGCTACCCAGGGAGGTGGTGGAGTCGCCATCCCTGGCAGTGTTCAAGAGGCGTCTGGATGAGGAGCTGCGAGACATGGTTTAGTAGCTTGTGGTAGCAGTGGTAATGTGAAGACGGTTGGACTAGATGATCTTATAGGTCGTTTCCAACCTTGTGGTTCTATGATTCTATGATTCTATGATTCTATGATTCTATGAATGCTGAGTTCTAGAAATACATTTGTTTTCTGTATGGTTGTGAAATATAGCCAGTGGAGGAGAATGACATTTCAGAATCTTCAATGAACTACCATTACAAAAGAAATTTTCTTTTGTTTAAAACAGGACTCATTTTACTAATTTTAAGAAAATGAGAGCAAATAGTGGTTTAAAAAAAAGTTCAAGTGCTTTGTTATGGAAATTGCAGGAGTGAAATGCTGACAATTTTCTAAATGTTTCCAAGTTCACTGCTTGTCCTGACAGAATATGAGGTTGTTAAAATGTCTCACTAGGTCTACTAGTCATATTGATGACAAAAAAAAACATTATTTCTGGGTGTTTTTCAGAAGAATAATAGAAAAAATTATGGTTGTAATGAAATGTCATTTCCCTGACACTATGTATTACTGTAAATAACACACATGCATACGTGCACACATATACAACAGTTTTTCAGAATCAGGGTTTATAAACATTGTGCTGCCATGAAGAGCTACCTTATCCTGGACACTGTTATTTCTAATAGTCAAAGGAAGTGAATCATAGCTGGCAAGGGACACCTCTGCTGTAAATTGGCCGTATATATATTTACTTGTTTATTGATTCAGTTCTGAAAAGCATCTGAGCTGGACTGAATTCCTGCTCTATATGCTTTTCAATTACTTCTCCTTCATTACTGAAATTCTTTTTCTTCTGGACAACTCTTCCTTTAAAAAAAAAATAGCATAACCTTTCAGTTCAATGCTGTCAGTGAGGATTACAAAACTTGAGTTTCTCTGTCTACATTTTTATTTTAATCAGCAACTCTGGTGAGGTGCATGTTAACATCTGTTAGTAGACTAATAATTAGTTGGCCTATTAATTAGAAAAGGGCTAGGAGTACATTTGGATGTCAGATAGATGCACGTTTTTGTTCTTCGCCTCTAAAAGACTGTCTTCAAAACCTTTTCCTTGGAAAACAAGGTCTTATTCTGAAAGAGCATGGCCTGTATTTATTGCAGCTGTGAATTGCATTTGACTGTATTTTTGGTATTTGAATAATAATGGAAACTGATTTTCTTGAAAATATACTTACATTAACTCCTGTTTTTGTCTTGCTTTGCTCATAGCTCTTGAACATTATTAACTTAAAATATCTATCTAGGATAAATAAATGTCTGTTTTTACATGGTAATTATTTCAATTTCCTATGCATTTTTTCAAAGTTCGGTAGAGAACAACTAACTTTTACTGAACATTTTCACCTGTATTGTCATGTCTTTGGAAAACTTCATGATTATAGACATTTCTTCATTTATAGACATAGGACAATTTGACCTTGTTCTTCTACAGGTCAGTAAAAAAATACCATGAGAAAATATTCTCTATAGTTATCAGCAGTATTGTTAGTTTAAAACTAGCATAGTCTATAGAATATACTATCTTATATATGTTCAGCAGAATAATCATTGTAGTCTATTGGCTTTAAAATGTATTTGTTTTGCTTCTCATACATGAATGGAGGTAGAGAACTGTGTGCTGCCTTTTCATTTCAAAATAGATCAACCCTCTGGAGCCCACACTGTTTATGCTTCAGGTTCAATCCAGGCAGACTGCAGCTGAACACTGAACAGAAAAATTCTCATGAAAAGAGCCCTTCTCCCTCCCCCTTTTACATTTCCCTCAGGATATCTATCAGTTCCGTGCAGCACTGTATGTGGGCTTCACTGGATATATCACAAGAACAACTTTTATTAAATTCTACTTTATCACTTGAGCTTCCAGGCCCAGCATGAAAATGAAAGTAGAGTTAGAAATATTGCTTGGTCACAGATTCCAAAAGCTTAGCTCAGTTTTAGTTGAAAGTAAATTTTAAAAATTTTGAAGGTAGACGTCTTACCTTTCAAAAATACCTCTCCTGTACATAGTTGCTACATCTAATTCTGTTCCTTTGGGGCAAATCAAAGTATACCCAGGAGTGGCAGCTGTTTTTTATTTTCTATTTTCTGACAGTTTTAAAACTGATTCTTATCCAAAATTTTAAACAGAGCTTGCCATTTTCCTTAAAAAAATTCTTTTTCCTAACCAATACTGAAGTACATCTCATTGTTAGGATGTCAAGGAAGATGGTGCACTGGACAGACCATTCTGGTTCAGCCTGAATTTAGGTTCTATAGAAATTAAAGCCTAGGCAAAAGTGCAATTCTGAAGGTCAATAGGAGGTAATGCAGATGATGAAAATCTCCATACCAGGATTTTTGTCTGTACCATATCCGAATGTTGGAAAGTATAGATGTTTTAGATGCATTTATCTAGCTCCTAAAACATTTCATGCTAGAAGAATCAAGCTAATGACCCAGTCATATAATCTGTTGAATTTAGCAGCAGTCAAGTAGAAAATTAAAATAAGCAAAATTTGAACATTCTACTAAGGTCAGGTAATATTGGGGTCAGGTTCAAATTTCAGCACATTCATTGTTAATTTTTATTTCAGGTAATTCAGACCATCACTGCAACTGACAAAGATAACTCTGCAAATGGGGCCAGATTCCATTTTTCTCTTGATGAAGGGCTTTCTTTGAATCCCAACTTTACTCTAAGGGATAATGAAGGTAAATCAAACACACAGTTCTGTACAAAATTAATCTCTGTTTTGTCTGGAATGTAATTTGCATGCATTTCTTATAGAAGGGGAAAATTAGTATGTCATCATCAAACTGGTTAATATGAAGGGCATAGTGTATACAATGTACTGCAAACCATGAATAATCAGATATTCTATTTTCTTTATACATTTTAGCATTTGTAGTTCAAATATTCACAAATGTTTCCAGAAAGTGGATTAATTAATAAGTGTTGACATTTTCATCTATTTCTAGGTAGATAGATTGAGTGAGTTCTTTCAAGGTTATTGCCTGCCTTAGAGGAGGAGCTAAGAATTTAAGGTGAATAAAAAGTTGAATTTGTGCTTGCATTTATGGATACAATACCAAGAATAGGTCTTTCAGTGCTTCTTGAGGGGTAGTCTACCTCTTCATATTCTTCCTAATAGGCGTGTCAAAAAAGTACTTGGGTTGCACATAATAGTTGCCTTTAGAGTCACCTGGCTGAGTTTTTCTGAACATTTCTTGCATCAAAGAACCATCTATTTCAAAAAATAAAATAAAATAACCCAAGAAGAATCAACCATACCATTTATGTAATTGTTTCCATTTTGCTATGTTGAAAATGAAAGTATACTTAAAATGCCTGTCTGTTGCTTTCTTCAGGGACTTTTTGATCTAAGGGTGTATTGTGTGCTTTTGTTCATATCTGTGTGGAAATAGGTGATAATTGGCTTTATTGTAGTTGTATTTTTGCAATAATACGATGGGATACTCCCTGAGATCTTATAAATCACTGCACATCTGTAATGACTGAGAAGTGTTAAATTCATCATTGTACAAATGAAACTATTCTTCAAAGATATTTGAAGGAAGAGAGACTGCATAATCTTCCTTAGGAATCTCTTCCAGTGTTTAACTGTTCTTAGCACAGAAAAAATAAATTCATCTGTCAATATTAGAAAAGTATTAAAATTGTTTTTGTTTAACCTAAGAAGATAAAGAGTAAGTATGCATTTTCTGTACAGAAACTCCAATAATACAGTTTCTAATTTGCATATACAAAGATATTTTAGCTTAAATCATAACAAGAAATTCAACTTGGTAAACAACCAGAAAACATTACAACTAAAGTATTTTTACAATTTTACTCAACGTATTACCTTTTGATTCTGTTTAAAAACTGCCATTTTGGGCAGTCTTTTCTCTGTGATAAAATACTGTATATGTACAAGTTAAATTGATTAATGACATTCACAATAGCCAGTTATTTTCCATCCACACTTGTCTCTCTCTCTACTCAGAATTTGAATTTCTGTTATTTTGTCTTCCAGGAAATGGTGGGCAGAAATATTTCTTATGTTTGTTAAATTTGCTATTTTATTTCTGGATTTTATAATCCAATAATGGTTGGAATTCTAGGATTTTTTTGTTTTGTTTTGTTTCTGTAGAACTTTGCCAACAATTGCCTTAAGATAGTTTTCAATGTTTTGCAAAATGCTGAAAAACAAAAGCTCAACATCACATTGAATGTGGTGGTCAGTGATAGATTTATCTGTGAATGCACAGCTATATTTCTCTTGCAGATTTTTTTGAATCAGGTCATCCTCTCTTTTTATTTTTCAGGACAAAGGATTAATTTCACAAAAATCTCAGGAGACCATTTCTTCCCTTGTTTTCACAACCCTAAATAACATGATACTGCTCTGATTTTGAGCTGCATTATTGCATAAATGTTCCATTCTACTCCATTATCAGTACAGCTACAAGATCAAAAGACTCTACAGTACTAAATTAGATCCTTACATTTTAACACATCCATGCACTTTCATTGAAATCTAGAAGCATAACATTTCCTAATTTATCCCTACATACCTGCATAATCTCAACATATGTATGATTCAGATTAGTAGTAACCCATTGCTTCAAAATAGGAAATAGATATTAAGTTGTCAGTCCATACAATTGATTGTGTGACCAGGAAAGTTTATCTCCCTTGAGTCTGAGCTTGAGCCTTTGCTCATTAACAATCCATGGTTTTAAAGCTCCAGCCCTTGAGTACATACCCTCAAAATACAGAAATTAAAACCCTTAGAGGAGAATATTGGACTATATCAAGCATGTAGTCTATCTGAACCTAAGAATTGGTTGGATCACCTTCTGGATTCTGATGGTGTTGATGATTTTCATTTTAGAGAAAAGATATAGAGAAGACAGAATAGGATATTTTTTTCCCTGCTGACTACCTTGTGCTACAGTACATTCTTTGATGATGGCTGAAGTTTTTTGTTTTGACAGTTCAGAGAGAGAAAAAAAATTAAGAGTGTGAGCAAGAGGACAGCCAGCAAAATGATGCAGTATCCATATCCATGTAAGCAAGGAGGGCTATAAAATTTCTTTGCTATACAAAGAAAATGCATTAGGTTTAATCATTCCCTGAAGTCTGCAATTTTAGAAAGCAAACCCAGGAAACATACCTCTTTGTTTGAGAATTGTACTTATGATGGCTTTTTAATGAAAACAGGGCTGTTTACAATTTATTCGGTCCAGGGAAGTGTTGCAATTTCTACTAAAACCTGAACGGCCAAATTGTTATTTAATTTGGAAGTGCTTTTTTCTTGCTATTTGGATGCTATATATCTGAGTTATTTGTTGTACATGTTCTTCTGACATTGTTTTTTTACTATATTGCAATAGATAATTTTGAAATCCAGATCACTTTTGTGTAATGCCTTGAGTTTTTGCCTCATCATACCAGCTACTGCAAGTCCAATTTAAAATTTGCCTGGGCATTATGATGGAAGAGCCTCTTCAGAACAGAGCTGTTTCATAGAATTATGGAACTGCAATCATTTGGGTTGTAAGGGACCTATCTCCTCTGCCATGGGCAGGTAAACCTTCCACTATATCAAATTGTCCAAATCCCCAACCAACCTGGTCTTGAATACTTCCAGGGATGGAATATCTATAACTTCTCCGGTCAACCTGTTTCAGGGCCTCACCACCCCCTGAGTAAAGAATTTCTTAATTATTTCCAATATAAATCTACCCTCTTTTAGTCTTAAGCTGTTACCTCTTGTCCTAACACTACACTCCCTCCCTGATGGAATCTCTTGTCATCTTTCCTGTAGATCACCTTTCCCCCTTTAGGTACTGGAAAGCTACTATAAGGTTTCCCCAGAAAGTTCTCTTCTACAGGCTGAACAACCCCAACTTTCTCAGCCTCTCTTCATAGGAGATGTGCTCCAGCCCTCTGATCATCTGCATGTTCCTCCTCTGGACTCACTCCAATAGGTCCGTGTCCTTAAGTTGGGACCCCAGATCTGAATGCAGTACTCCAGGTGGGGTCTCAAAAGAGCAGAGTAGAGGGGGAGAATCATTTCCCTCAATGATGGTGGTCATTCTTCTTTTGATGATAAGGTTCTAGTTGGCCATCTGGGCTGCAGGCACACACTGTTGGCTCATATAGGTTTTTCATTATGAACACCCCCAAATCCTTCTCCTCAGGGATGCTCTCAATCCATTCTCTCCCCGGTTTGTGCTTCTGCTTGGGACCACCTCAGATCAGGTGCAGGACATTGCACTTGGCCTTGTCTGTCCGACTTCATGAGATTCACAAGGATCCACATCTCAAGTTTGCCAAAGTCCCTCTGAGTGGCATCTTTCAACCCACTGAATTTAATAATTACACTTTTTTTTTTTTTTAATCCTGAAATAATCATAGTATTTTTCCAGATCATCAAAGTATGGTTAATATATTTGTCAGAATTCATTAGTTTGATGGAAAATGCATGTAAGAATATTTTACTGTTATGATACCCCTATCTATTAATACATGGATGTACACAGTCTCTCTCACTGCCTGAATTTTAAAATATATATATATATTTTCTCTCCTTGCCTATTTTGTTACCCACTAGAGACCTCTAGCAGAAGTTATGCCACACTTTTAAGGGACTTAGCAAAAGGTTGAATCCCCAGAGGACAGGTCACTTTGGTGTGAGAGAGCATTTATGAATTTTACGCACTGTAAAGCAATGTTTTGCTGGTGGTATTTTTTTTTTTTTTCACAAGATATACAGTCTATAATGGCTGCTCCAATGAGTCCTGTAAATTTCCTAGGCAGTAAGGGTTTGTGCAGACTGTACAAATTCACCCAACACTGCCAAAAAGATTTGTACATTATCTTGCCTTTGGAAGTTTTAACTGCAATCTTCTGAAGCTAGACAAAGTTTACCTTACTTTCAAGAAGAGCAACTCAGAATACATAGGATTTTTTCTGCTTTCCTTTTATTTCTTCAGGACATAGGTTACATTTCACAAAAATGAATAAACAAACAAACAAACAAACAAATAAATAAATAAATTGCAATTTTATTTTTCCCATCTGCCCACTTTTCTCAAAGATTTGGCTTTCTGAAAATTCCGCAATCATGGGGAATGTTCTGGAACTGAAACAAAGGTGCACTGATTTTTAATTCTGACTCTTTGCAAATTCCTTTTTGTTAGTGTTTTATAATGTTGTGATCACAAATTATTTTAATATCCACAGAAGTAAAATGCTTTTGTGAAAGATACTGAGTTCTACAGTGTCTGTATAAGATGAAATTTGTAATGCATTCATCCACCATGTCTGTGATGCAAATGAGTGTTTTTCCCATTTTAATGATCAAAACTTAGTAAAAAAAGAATCAGTTTTACCTTGCATGGCTGTTATTTAGGAAGCTCTTCACACCATACCACTTCAGAGCATTTGAAGTGGCACTGAAGGTCAAGTTAAACCCTATTCTTTGCTACCCAACATAAATGGGAAACATTTATGAAATTCTCTCCTTGTTTATATCAAAGATGTGGCGTGCTCTCTCAGGTTCCACAGTAATGTATATTCTTACTGCTCTTCAATGAAATACCATCCTGTAATGAAGAGAAGCTGTATCTGTAGGAGAATTATGTGGAAAAGACAAGTCATATCTGAGAAAGTTCAAATTAGCATTATATGTAGTAACTGC